AATCTTAACTTTTATTTTTGAAATTCTCCGTCCAGTCATATTCTTATATTCTTATTATTATATATATGTATATATGTTTGTAAATCTATATACATATACTAAAAATATATTTATATGCCTGTTTGYCGCTGCGCAACATTTCATGTGCGCCTTTGTTCTAAGTGGCGCTCAAATTTCACCAAAAATTCYATCCAGTTCGGAAGCTAACCGAATTTCACTCGCCGCTGACAAAAGGTTAAAGCAGAAAAAATATAAAAAAAATAAATAAATCGCGGTATTGTCTGAAACAATGAAATAGAATATTGTCAAAGAGAAAAAAAAAAAAAACATATTAATTCACACACACACACACATACAAACACAGCGCGCAAAGCAAATCCAAGCAGCTGTAGCGCTGAGCTAAGCAGTGCGTAGCCGCGCGGTGTGATGCGGTGCGGTGCAGCATGGAGTGTCATGTGTGAAGTGGTGGTCATATATCATTTTCATTTAATGGGCGCTTCGCAGCTGAAGCCGTTCTGACCCTGAAATTTGAAGACTATATTGTGTGAGCACACACACGCGCACACAAACACAAACGCATCCAGGTCCAATATGCAGCCATAAAAAATATGTGTTTGTTATAATTCAAATAAACTGAAAGGCGAAAACAAGTTCGTCGCCTCAGTGCAGGCGGCCAAAGAGGAGTGGTGCCCACTGTGTTGAGCAGGCAGAAAGGCTGAAATTTTGCACTCAAAAAACAAAGGCAACTAAAAAGTCATTTAGTTCACTTTGGTGGCGTAACAGCGGCGGGTTTTACAGAAGTGAGTGGTCGTACATTAGTGGATGGAAAATTCAATAGACACGAACGTACATACATACATGCGAATGGGGATGTGTGTGTGTGCGTCTGCAAGCCTGTGCATATGCAACTATTCAGTGTAGTAAATTAGATGCATGTGTTTAGCATATTTCTTGATTTGCTTGCGTATACGTGTGTATGTGCTTGGCTACGGTGTCGCCGTTAATCAACCGTTAAATAATATTAATGCAAACAGCTTGTTAGTTGCAAATTGACTACACTCSACTTCATGAAAAAATCATTACAAAATCCAAGCATGTAATTAGTACAGAGAAAACAACAACAACAATGACAAAAGTTATTCGGAGTGGAGTAACTGCTTTTTAGCACATTTTTGCTGCTGCTGGCTGAAGCGCTGATATTATTAATGTAGTTGTTATTATTATTAAATTTACTTGAATGAA